TAACTACTGGCTATCCAGCCCCGTACCGTATTCTTGTTTGGGTGTGGTCACATCATGCACATCTGGTGTGACACACACCCCTGTTACCAGGGTATGTGTAATCCTGTTACACTTATAGTTTGCACTGCATGAGACTAACAGCCCATCTGTCCCCTGAGCCTCATAAGTATTGAAGCACATTCGGCTCAGTGATCCGCAGAGACAACATAGGTTAGTTTAAAACTATTATCTTACACAGGGCACCTACATGATTAACAAATCAATACGCTGTTAGTTACTGTCGTCCCTCGGATAACCCATATCCGGGTAACTCCTAACCTCGAATAACTACCAAAAGTTTGTTCCAGCAAGCGTATTTGTATGTAGCCAATTACTAACTCATAACTGGTAAAATCGAAGCCAGTTTTGAGTTACCCGGGTTAATAGCGCTTTACCGAATTCACTCCCTTCGGGTCTTTTTGTCACATGGATATAATGCGACAAGGACTGCATTACCTATTATTATTTACAAAAATGACTTTTTTTTATGTAGAAGACAGCGAAGTGCCAAACAATCATGCTGGACTACTTTGAAACCAGCCACGAACTGATTGTTGTTGTCGTTTTTAGAAATTTCTGCAGTTCTCGAATGCGCCTGAAAACGGCTCTATCTGTGGAATTCGTCACATCCAGAAGTGAAGCAGTAATTGCGAGGCTCGTTAGCTTTTCTAGATTCGTTACTATTTGTTTTTCCACGTCTTCGTTATCTTGATCGGCATTCTCCTCTTCTTCCGCCTCTTAAACCATGGCTATCATCTCATCGTCATTCGATCCCAGATTGGCTGTGTTATCCTCCATCACTGGGCTCATAGGCTCTTTGTTAGCCATGGGATTATTACGAAGAAGTATTTGGATTGCGTCGCACAGGGCGATTTCAATGTATTGCTCATCCATATTGGGCACCAATATTTGAGGAGGCCCTACAAAGAGACCAGTGCGGCGAACAAGGTTGCTACTGATATCTCCTCCCAAGCTGCTTTGCTCCATTTCATTGCGGCTAGCTGATCGATCCTATAGATGTTGGTTTCACCTCTTTGTCACGATCAATAGCAATTTAAAGATGATAACGCCTGTAATGTCGCTTGAATGCGGAGATTATCCCAGCAGGCACGGGCTGGATCTAAGACGTGCCGTTTGGCGGAAGGAAGACCACCTCAACATCATTCACCTCGTGATCGTCGACTATATGAGAAGTGGCGCTATCTAGTAAAAGAAGATATCTTTTGCTCAAAAGAACAGTGATTGAAGTAAGTGAGAGCACAGCTAAAGCGTTTACATATTGTACCTTCATGTCGTTGTCAACCCTTTTCAACCACTTCTAGAAGAGGGCGCCGGCAATCCACGTGTTGCGATAAAAGAGACCAGTTGCTCACCTATCTTACGATTGAAACAGCGACGCTTAATGGCCTTTCCAATGAACGATGGCTTGAGTTTCTCTGATCCATCTACGTTGGTAGCATAGGCAATAGTGATGCGATCCTATGATGCAGAAGGGAGAATGATAGTTTAGCTAATTCTTTCACTTAAAAGACCATGATTATATGCAAGCAAACTTACTTTGTCTTGTCTACGTTCCTCAATCTGCTGCTGTGCAATGGCCTGTCCTGGAACCATGATTTGAAATAATCCTACGAAGACATCAAGTAAAACTCCTATGCAAAGTACATTGCAAATATTTATACCAGTTTCATCTATGTTGAACACGTCCTTCATCTCATACCAAGCAGTGACTGCTAAAAGCGCAAGAAGGCAGCATCGATTACTGCCTGATCTGCTGCGCCAGCAATTTATCTCTTTCTTGAAAGCGTTGCAGCCACTCATTGGAATACTTGCTTGCATACTCGCGCAAACCGAGTCAGTCAGCGAAGACTTTTCGAATTTTGATGAGATCTCCAGTGATGGTTACATGCCTTGTCTGGCACTGAAGCACCCATGTTGTCAAGGCTTCGTCGAGCTGCGGGTGATGTGCAACGCGGGGCCGTTTGCCCGAAAGTTCAAGAACTGTCATGGTCTCGAGCTCGGGACTGTTTTTGAGGATGCAGCTAATAGCAGATCGAGTCATTCCAACGTCAAACTTTTGAGTAGTCTATGTCGCAAGCGCACTTTGAATCATCCATTGATTTTTGACGTTTTGACTATCTCGAGCCTCTACGCATTTTGCCAAACGTGCTGGTGGTATATTTATTGTAAATGTAATTTTGCAATGCAGTTTACCACTTCGAAAAAAAATTGAAGAACTAATAACCTGAACTGACTCATATATGATTTCTTACCGCATTTATTAGTTATCCGAGGGACAACTGTATTTGATTTTCACTTGATTTTTCTCTAAAATTTTCATTTACAGAAGCACCTTTAGGTAGTCTAAATAATAATTCGTCTTGTATAATATATTTTATGAAATGGCGTAGTTTCAATTTGTCAAGAAGTAACCACCTCAGCCGCTATATATGTCTTCAAACCATGGTAACAATTTAATCGTCGAAACCACTAGCCCAAAACATGACACGCGTGTCAACTGCAGTTACCACGTTTAAAAACATTCCTGCACGGACACGATCTCAGCGAGATGCACTTTGTGACAAAGAGCAGCTTGAGAAAGATCGATTGCGTGCTCGTAAAGAAGGTTTTGTACGTCCGGATACATCTGAAGGTATTAAAGGTGCCATGTTTCTATATTCATCTCAAAGTCCAGGATTCATGAGCGATGCCGATCGCTTTCACTCGGATA